TGTTGATGTCGTTGTCGTCGTCGTGGTCGTCGTCGTTGTTGTGGTCGTTGTTGTAGTTGTTGTTGTGGTCGTTGTTGTAGTTGTTGTTGTGGTCGTTGTTGTTGCCGTTGTCGTTGTCGTCGTTGTTGATGTTGTTGCTGTAGTAGATGTCGACGTGGTACAGGTTGTACTCGTCGTGACTAAATGAAGATATATTGACCGAAGATTGCGGTATAAACTGTGAAGCCCAAAAGTTTGAGACATCTTGTTTTTGTCTTTTTTAAAATTTCTCTTTAGTACATATCGATGATATGCATAGCTTGCTGTGCAATCTGGTCAAACGATCTATTCTCGACAGACACATTATCGAAGAAGACAAAAAAAAACACTCGAAAATTATCATGAGTGGCTTATAACAAATGAGAATCTCAGATTTTTGACGATATCTTATACACAACGCATCATGCTGATTTCGCCCTAGCCTATAACCGTTCTACATTCAACGCTCTACTGAGTGTAATTGTTTATTTTAATCGGAATCTTGTCTACGCTCACTTCCATACACTGACAATGTAGCGAAGTCATTACCGTATTTAGCAATTGTAAAATAAATGGTGGAGGCTTCTGCTTATTACGTTTCGAAAGCGTTTAGCACCGATTTTTACCAGAGGATCTACTTTAAGAAATTAGCTATCCAATCATTATTATCTTAATGGATCGCAGGTTAAATTCATCCAATCTAGCCCGAAAAGAAGTCGGATGCTACGGTTAGAAACAAAGTTGTTGAGTCCAGCGAACATTACTTACAAACTATTTATTGCTATTCGTATTTTATTTTATTTCTGATTGACTTTTTTGTTGAATTTTTATAAACTATATTAAATTAAAATATTCTTGTATCTTGTTAATTTCATTTAATTCATTTCTTTTTATTTTGTATTTAGGTCCTTTTACACTTTATGGTCCCAAATCATATGATTGGTCACAGAAAGAGCAACAAATTGTTGGAGAGTCAATTCAAATTCAAATCAAAATGCAATCGAGTGGCCTTATTTCATTTTGTTTTTTTTTCATTTAGTTTAACTTCTTTTATCATTTATACTATTTATTATTGTTTTACTTCATGTTATAGGAACTTGAAGACAATCAAAAACTAACATGAATTTTTATTTTTAATTATATTTTGTTTCGATTCAATTTTTATTTTACTTGTTTTTTTTATAATATTTTCATTATTTTTGTTTTATTGTCTTTTATTGTTTAGGGGTGGCATTTTAATTCTAAACTTTAAAAAAAAGTGCATAAAGTTTAAAGCTTACTTTAAACTTTAAGAGTTAAAGTTAAAGTATAATAACTACTTCAAAACTTTAACTTTAATAAAAGTATTGCAAAAATGAGAAGTCAATTTTAGCTCTTTATATACGGTTATATATGGTTTTTACAGTAACTTTAAACTTTAAACTGTGTTCATTAAAGTTTAAAGTTTAAATTTACACTAAAGACCACATAAAACTGCACACAAAAAGCTAAAAATTATTTTTCATTGTTACAATACTTTTATTAAAGTAAAGTTTAAAGTATTTTACTTTAACTTTGGCTCTTAAAGTTAAGTTAGTGCCACCCCTAATTGTTTCTCTTTTATTTTATTTTAGACTACATTAACATGAAGTGAATGAATGCAGTATAGATTATTTCATTCTTTTGTTTTTGTGATTTTACTTTATTATATTATTTTTAAAATTAATTTAGAAATTGTTATTTAACAATCTCCATCAAAAATTTATTAAAATAAAAGATACTTCGGGTGTTAATTATAATACAGTAAAACCTTTTCACATGGGCACCCCTATAGCAAGTGCACTTCGCTTATATGGGTACTGGGCGGAACGACCGATCAATTTTTGCTGAGTATGAGTCTCTCTAACAAGGGCACCTCTAACCTCGAATAATGGGCATTGTTTTTTTTAGTCCATAGTGTACATTTACCTCTCTCTCACATGGGCAGATATAGTGAATGTTATAATAAGTAGAATGTTCTTTTTTCTTCTCGTCTCATCTCTCCTTGCTGTTCGAAGAGAAAAAAAAGAAAAGTTAGTCCGATTGAACAAAAAGAACAATTCATCTATACACTTCTCATTGTCCCGTAAACGATAGTAAGAGTATTAATACTATTGTTTTTCTTACATTACATATTCATATCATTTGAAAAATGACGTCGTGCCATTGCCTTACTCTTGATAAGAAGATTGAATTAATCAACGACTACGGTGATGGAGCTGGACTATCACAGCGCAAGCTACGCGAGAGATCCAAGGTATCGAGGGTGTGGGTGTGGGTGTGGGTGCACTTCTTTTATGAAATCACACCCATACCATTCGCATATACTAGAAGAACAACATAACTTAAAAGAGTTATTAATGCTTACCTGAACCAGGCGTGAGCATCATTGTCAGAGTTACAGCCAAAGCAATGCCACCTACTAAGGAACCAACTAGCATGCCAATGAGATGATTAGTACATTTTGGACCACATATCTTAGCACCAACGCGTCTGGACCATATCAGCACCCTGCTGAAAAAGTATCATTTTATATAAGTACACCTATCTGAGCGCCTGACATACTTGGACGGAACACTAGTACGATCATTTGCCAAATCACGAGAATTATAATCGTCATCTATTTGCTTGCTGCTCCTTTGTAATGCATATTGTATTTCCAAGAAGCTTTTCCTTTTGTCAGTGCACTCCTACATCGATTTGATTCGTATTAATTTATTTTTGAATAGAGGCGTCCATCATATCACTTACTGTTTTATTCATTAGTCTGGCAGTTTCTTCTGTCTTTTCACTGAGCTTCAAATGAAAACGAAAAATTCAGACTACAACATACAAACTCTTGCAGCCGATGTGAATATGCTTTTGCCGATAGTTTGCCTATAGAAGAAAAGTAAAGAAAAATGTAATCAACATTCGCTTGTCTTCAGTTTTATTTTCTTTTGCTGAAATTATTTTTTTGCAATTTATTTGATTCAAGAGTCTACAAATAATTTTGAAATTTATGCCTTGTAATGCATCAGCCTTTACAGAATCAGCGAAATATTTTGAAGTCTCGAGAATCACAATGAAATTCTATTTGCTATTATACACTGATTTTTCAAACAACACCATACTGTAAAAAAGATCCGTAGAATACTAAACCCAAAAAGGGTTGATGAAAGTGCAACGTATAATAAACCCTTTTTCCGTTTTTGAAAATTTTCATAAACCCTTAAGGNCCATTAGGGTTTATGAAAATTTTCAAAAACGGGAAAAAGGGTTTATTATACGTTGCACTTTCATCAACCCTTAAGGGTTTAGTATTCTACGAATTTTTTTTACAGTGCATGAGAGGATGTGGGCGTAGGGATACTTCGATTGGGCGGAAGATTTATTTAGATGTCCGCATCCTGAAAATATAGAATGGTAAATATCATAGATAGTAACAGTTTGACAGTCGTGGGAAATTCAATATATCGATGTGTCTGGTTATGAATGTAGAAATCGATAAAATGAGGACACGTGCAATGAAGACTGCATCGTCCATAGATATTTTATTAGTAAAAACGTATGTTTCATATTTATAGGTATAGATTAAACTTTAATATGAGTGAATTCAATCAAAATAAACAGACAAGCTCAAAACAAAGGAAGTAGACGCCCTAAAAAATACATGCATTTCGCAATGGAGAATTAACTTCAAAGAAAATGATTTGAATGAGCGTCACGCACAAAAAATGTTAATCTCAAAATTATGTATATTTCATATTTAATTGAAATCTTCACAAACATACACTAATTTATAACAAATAATTGACCCCTTAATCTCATATTATCAACACAATTAATCAACTATAATACTTATGGCGTTAATATACAATAAACTGGAACAAGAACAGAAACAAAACGAAGGAGAAACAACAAATAAAATATACAATATATATAGGTGTGGATGTAAGTATGAGCATCGACGACCTGATGACTCAGAATTATGCTCACATCCCTACCATAATCTGTTCCGATTGATTTAAAATAAGCAAATTGCTTTTACTTTGTCGTTTTATAACCCAATATCAATCAAAAACTTTTCAGTACAATTTTTTTTTAAATTTTGATATGAACCTAACACTTTGATGATATTGAATAAATCTATGAAATATATTTGGATTTTTATTGAAAATCAATGAAAGTAAATATATGATTATATAATGTGTATAATTCGAATAGTGAATACTTGGGAATATTAGAAACATACACAATCCACTAAAAACAAAAGCAATATGAAGATCGAAAAGAGTTCTTTTATCTATCTTCTATCATGCTGGGTCAGCAGAATTGTGCATTTTATATGTTTACATTAGTCCAGCATAAATTTTACCAACATTGGTAAGTTCACGAAGATCGTCTGTAACCATTGCACCGTTTGGCTTCCCATTCATACGTGCAGCCTCCTTTGGTGCAAACATAGCATATCTTACCACATAACTCTGTGCGTCAAGCCATTGTAAAGCTTGTTTCTCAAGATTAGCTGTTACTAAACTTGTAAAACCAGTAAACTCCCATTCAGTAATCCACAAGGGATAAGTAGGAAAAAGTTCATGGAATTTTCTAAGATGCTTTTGGAAGTTTGACCATGATTTACCATACCAATGTAGTGGGATAAAATCAAATGAGCATTCAGGAGATGTACAGTTTCCAAAAAATTGCTGAAGCCAATCGATACCCATTCCAGGTGTAGTTGAGCTGGTCACTGCCGGTGCCCCCAATGCCATTTTACATAAGTTTTTCATAGGTTGAATGTACTGTTTCCAAAGGACAGAAGCATTGTAAGGTGAAATATAATAGCCTCCTTTAGCTACTGGTAAATCCGGTTCATTGAATCCAAGAAGTTTTGTATGATTACATTTTGATAAGTACCTAAGAATATTTGGTGCGTCTACTTGTGTTCTACACATTGGTACATATTCAGCTCCCGAATAGACGCCTGCTGGTCGTGGATCCCACAGCTCCCAATTGTACAACCATGGTATATTACTTGGTGAGAACAACGCAAATGTCGATGCGTTATTATTCCATGACCAACATAGACCGCGTTTTGTACTGTTTGTTGCTGGCAAAATTGGGATACTAGTGTAAACAACGGATAGAGCATTTACTCCTCCGCAAATTTTTGTTGAACTGCCTGCACAAGTCATTGTACATGCGCTTGAAACGACAGTAGGCGCTGCTTGTGAACAATAACACTCATTGCCATTTTCAGTTCCTGAATAAGCCAGACCCAAAGGCGTACAGTATGATGTACATCTGTCAGGAGTGTTCGAAGTTAAATTAGTTGCAGCATCCGGCATTGCTCGAGAAGTGGGATAAAAATCGGCATAGCATCCGATGGGTGTTGAGAATGACACAGTAGGCCAAATGATGATAGCTTCGATAATCATAAAATAAATTGGAATGACGTGCCCCATTCCTTCAAAAATCTCTCTAAAGTCGAAGGTAGATTGTAGGATTCTGGAGCATAGTAACTCTTTACTTTTCAAATCGTTTTTTGTTTTGTTTTTGATTTAAAATCAATCTAGGGTGGCGAAAATACAATGAACTAGACAAAAAAAATATTTTTAGAATCGTTATTTTTTGTTTTATTTGTTGACTTTATAGAGAAAGGGATTTACTTATTTTTGCTTTTTCAATTTTTCTCATGTATTGGGATGCTACTAAAAATGGACTCATAATTATTTTCACCATTCCTTATCAACATGTAATTTGAATGTAGTACAAGTGGGAGTATTCGTTAAGAACCCCAAGAATCCGCACATCCTGACAGCATTGAAGAACTCATTTCTTTTGAAATTATCAACATAGTAGCTCATTTATCAGATATAAGTCGAAATTTCCCGCTTAGTTATGATACGACAGCACAATGCGTGAAGTACTTTATTATTAACTATTATTTTTGTAATTCATTAAGTCACGATGGGTGCAACTTCGAACCCGAATAGCTAAAATATGTACAAGCTACGCTATAAAAATCCTAGTAGTAAATAGTTTGATTTCATTAGGCATTATATACATATACCGTAGCGTAATATTAGCATATCTATCATATACTTAAGATTTGGCAGTTATTTTTGTACTTTAGATAGATCTTTTACATGAAAAATGGAAACGAATACAAGCTAGGAAGTTTTCGGGAAAATATTCTTTAGAAGAATTCTCCCTATAAACAATGGTCCGTAGTCGTATGATCTTTAACAAAAGCGCCCTATAATATCAAAATGTCCTTCCGATAAGAAATGAACAACGCTCGAGCAAGACGTTAATAATATGATTTAAGTTATAAGAACAGATAAAATTATAGTTCGACATGAAAGTATCTAAAAAGTACTTTGAATTATGACAAAGTAAATCATGATGTTTTTCAAAATCCCAAAAGACGCACGAACCCAGGTCAGATTATATTGGAGAAATATGAATGACTACTCCATTCGTGTATTGCAACAGAAAAATCATTGACTAAAGAGAGATACATAAATGGGAGCTAGAATTTTATCAATAATTAATAACTCTTTACTGTTTGGCATAAGATAAACGATCAGTTGATAAAATTGTAATATTGTTCAATAACAATCAACAGGCCTTATTTTGACCTTGGAGTACAACTTTCTTAATAGGATACCCACCTAAAAACTCTAACATAGACAACATACATGAGATATCGTTGCAACTACATAGATGTATGCTCTGTCGAAGTAAATTAGTAAAAGCGAACTTCATAATATCGTATCGTAATGTGCATAGAATTTTGAAGAGTCAAACTACCTACAAAGCAGAGGAGCCATACAAACAAATTTTTTACCATTATAATTTAAGTTATAGAGATCACGGGTTCCTTTCATGTGATATAGAACTACTTCGAATGAGGGAAGAGCACTTTTCATTTTTCTTTTTCAATGGTTGAATGATTTCAAAACTAAGCATTTAGATTTGGTTTTCTACAAAACTTAGAAATTATGTAGTATCGATAATTAATTTAAAAAAATGTTCCTTTCCCTTATCAAATGTGCCATACATAGTATATCTATCGGGAAACGTGTGTCTGCAGTTTTATCATTATCGAAAAACACAATTTTCAGAAGAACATAAAAAATGTTTCTTGCTATATAATTTCCCCACAATTACGTAAAATCAAAACAAATCTTAAATAAATTACATATTAGTCGAAGCATTTGAAGGAATATGTATTAGATTATCCTCATGTTATGCATATGACTATAAATAACACTACTTTACACCGTGTTTATTTTTGTGAAGCGACTGAGCAGCCTGATAGGAACAAGACAGTAGCAAACTACTTTTCTCATTCACTTCTTACCTTATAATTTTTTCGAGGAGTGATAATGTGAATTAGCTTTTACTAGCGATTTTTACGGCTTTTTAAGATATATACTATTTTGTTTTATTGAAAATATTGATTTTGATCAATCCTCAGAATCTTCATATTTTGTGTACGTATATTAAATTACATGCATTAGATTTTTTTCTTATTAATCTATCATATATGAATACCCAGGTGGGTCAAAAAGGATCCGTTTACAGCATATTTCTCGACAGTAAATAGACCATATTTACTGACAATATATAATGAATAAATATGATGCCGTAAACAGGAACACAAGTCCATTGTATTCGGCCGTAGTGGCTCCGTATTCTCATGATCACACGTTAGTATTTCTGCATCGGATATTACTTCAAAATTTTGGCTGGCCAATAGTCATAAGGGAACCGAAATGGTTGTACACAGGCTGCATTATTCGCTCTTGGTATCTTATGCTCTGCTTGTTATAGATTAATAGATAATACAGATCCTACAGTATAAAAAATAATTTTTACTAATTCCTCAAGTTATCGCCATTTTCCTAGATAATTACAAAGATCATTAACAAAACTAAAGTCTCAAATATATCGGAGAATCAATATTATATTTTAATGAATTTCTACAATAGGTAACATCCTCAATAGACTTATATATTCATTTCAACAATAATTTCCCAGGTAAAAGTCGACTTTTCTGAGACAGAGGGCGTTTCAATGCATTTTAACTGATGTATACCCTGTAAAGATGTTTGTTTGTGATTTTCCTTTTGAATAAACCATTGAGATAGTAGCATATTTTCAATATTTTTATTATGTTTTATAGTGTATAAGCGTGTGGTGTGTGGACGTGGATGAACATAGAACATGGCACCCACATCCACATCCAAAGAACTGTACAAGCCTTATACTAAATTAAAGTAAAAGTTTAACCAATCAAGCTGACACTTTCATGGGTGACTATTATCACTCTGTTGCACGTTTTCTGAAGTTTCACATGAATCTAGAAACATTGTCTACTTGAGCTGAACTGTCCCTAAAGTACCACTCCTTATTTCACATCGGTAGTTTGAAAAACCTGTTAAATATATGGGCAGACCTTTAATTAGTAATAAATTTAAAGGAGAGATTTTAATTGAAATAACATAATTAGACACAGAGATTTGTGTCATGAGTACGCGCCTGTTACTAGGTCGTTCAAGAAAACAAGTAAGTAATAGTTTTACTCAGTGATAGATGGTGATAAAGAGCGTATTAATGAAGAAACAACATCTGAGGAGACAGATGAAGATGAGATTAAGAAAACGAGTTGATATACTGTAGCAGAGATTATCGCCTGTGAACTAAATGACATCTGTAGTTACCTATTTTTCTAATTAAGGTCGATCTGTACTGGACGATGATACAAAGCTTTCAAAAAAAAAGCTAAAAACGAATTAATACGATAAAACATCGCGAAGAGAAGCAATTATCTGAAGAAAAGATGTATTAACTGAAAATATGAAAATAAAATTTCATTTCATCAATGTAGTTAGACCAAGGGGGAAAAGCGTATTTCCATGTATTTCTGAAATACATAGAAATACATTAGAAGTATTTCGAAATACTTAGAAATACGGAAATACAGAAATACACTTTTCCCCCCTTGCCGTAATATCATCTTACAGTGATTTATTTTTTGGGAAAAAAAGTACGAATACTAATCCAGATTGACGACGAACTGCGTGATTCTTGATTACATGATATTTATTACTATGAAATTTTTTTGGGATAAGGATACAATTTTTGCTTCCATGGTTTTATTGGTCGAAATCAAATTGTTTTGGCAGTCTTGTAATACATACATTTTTACGTAAAATATGAATGAATGTTAATCAGAACAAGTTGAAACACTGACCGGCACTGCCAACTCATATTCTACATATTTTTTTTCTAGCTTTAATTAGGGATGTGCAGTGTTGGTGTAAATACTGAAAAACTGATCACCGACTACACCGATGTCCAGGCCGTCAGTGTCCCTATCTTCAGTGTTTCAGTGACACCGGTGACAGCGTGGTCGATGTTCCACTGCGCACACTGCCGGTGCAGTCGGTACAAGTCGATGGTCAGTATACCGACACTGCACATCCCTAGGTTTAATATGAGTAATGGCTAGATTCAATAAATTTGAGAGCTAGTGATAGGAAATATCGTCGTCATTTCAATAGAAATACAACGAGAGAAACTATGGTTGATTGGTTAACACAACTTGGCATTGAATTGACACGAACTATTTTATCCATAATCATTTTTGTGGGAGTAGTGGAGAACCCTGTCAATATTATTGTGCTCAATCGACCCACTTTGTATAGAAACTCGTGTTCTCGTTGCTTTCTTGCTCTTGCAAGCAGCAATCTTCTTTATTCGAGTGGTATTCTGATTTATCATTTATTAGTTGACGGATATCAATTCACATTAGCTGATGGGTCCCTCATCATGTGCAAAATGATCACGTATGTCAATACTTTATCATCCTTACTTCTATTGACCGATATTGTGCACTTCGGGCAATGCACGAATACGTAATTTCAGCAATGTAGGTCAAACGGGCAATTCTACTCATAGTGGTTCTACTTAGTATTTTTCTTGGTAATGTTCTAGTTTTGATTGATATACGACAAAGTGATGGACTCGGATGCCGTATTCGTGGCGACACTATCTACAAGCAACTTTATTTGATTTTGCAAGTTGCACGGTTTGTCATTGTTGCACCCTTCGTCATGGCTATGTTTGGCTTCATGACCATCTACCATAAAACCTAATATCGTGCTGTTCGTGCTGCAGTCTCACGTTATCATCACACTGAAATTCAAATAACTCGTATGCTTTTCCTTCAACTTGGCGTTCATATTCTTTTGAATATTCCGACTAGCATAATCTATCTTATATTGGTTCTATCACCAGTATATAAAACAACACGAGTCTTCTACTTTCTCGACACTATTTTCAATTTCTTTTTCATCTTTCATTTGCGACAACCTTGGTCTTGTATTTTCTTTCGTCTCGTATTTACCGAAAGGAACTCGGCTGT